AAAATCTACTAATTCTACAGTGAGTTCGCCTCGAACCTCATGCGTATGTGCCGCGTCCTGTCCGTTCCGTACGAAGACAAGACTTTCATTCGGTGAAAAAAGGATATCGGTTGAGGTATTAGCAGAAGAAGACGGCTTGATGGCATTGTGTCCAGGTCGCAGAAGCCTCTCCCTATTCGCCTTGGTGAAGTGTGAGGTGAATTCTTTTCGGGCATCTCCGAGGAACTTCTTTTGAGGGAGCGTTTTTTTTCTGCTTCTCACCTGATTCAAGGTGGGACCTGTCGCAGCTACCATTTTATCGACAAATTTGCCGCGATATTTTCCCTCCTTCGCGTTCTTTAACTCGATTTGCGCCATGATTTCATAGAGTTCTGGCTCTGAGAGAGGAGACTTTAGTTTTTCCAGCTCTCTCAGGTACTCAGTAGGATGGGAACGCTTCTCGTGTTGTCTCGCCTACACGTAGGACAGCCAGTACGCTCTGCAATACTTGCACTTGGTCCTGTCCCCGCATTGCCGTCGCATCACGTGTACACGCCATTGCGCCTCACTCTCCAAAATCTCCCCGCAGCTTGTGCAATCGGTTTTGGATGAGCTGACCGCCGGCCGGCTTGCCACTTTTGGAAACCGGCATAAATTTTAATGAGTTTCTACGATCGGCTTGTACCTTTTCTACCTCCCCAATGATGGTAAAGGGGAAACTCTCTCTTCGCGAGGTAGTCTGAGGACCCTGGATCTTTCTTGCAGAGGCTACAGGCCGGTGAGCCCGCTGGCTTAGATCTTTGCCAGCCCTGTTTGATTCGCTATGATATATTCTGGATTATTTGGAACAAGCAAATAAAGAGGAGAGGGTAAGGATGGGACGGCGGGTAGATCAATCCGTCGCTGGCCGCGATGAAAACTGATTGCGAGGCTCATGCACCGAAGGGAAACTAGTCGTGTACAATATGTGACGTAACGTTTCCCTATCGGTCATCGGCGTTAACCGGGTCCAAGACTGATTGCTCACCATCGTTGTCCGCCCTTAACAACGTGGAGGTCGACTCTCCGACTTCCGGGATTGGATCGGTATACTGGGTATATTGACTTTCCGCTCTTCCGGACGATGTTATTTATAAGTTCCGGAAAAAGGCAGGTGATATACGAAATTTGACATAAAAAAAGACCAACTGCTCATGACAAACACAAGCAGACGGTCTGGAATCTTGTTACGCTGTCATAATCAGGGATTTTCTCAAAAACAAACAAAAATATTCCACACAGGACAAAAATTCTACGGCGAAAGATTTATTCGTTTTGAAGAGAGTCCAGGGTAGCAAAATCCAAATGTCAACTGTTCTGAGACATTATTGACTATTTGCACGGCCAAAACTCAGGGGATGCTTGAGCTAAGTGGAGCTCTTGTAGAAATAAAATTCACATTCAAAGCTCCTTTTATACTAAATATTCCTTAAGTAATAGCCTTGCAAATAGCCTTAAGCCGACAGAAACAACTGTATAGGTCAGAAATAAATAAGACAAAAGTCTATTTTTTTGAACAACATAATAATCAATACTAATAAACTCAAAGCTATATGGGATATCATGAAAGCTTCTCGTAACAAAGAAAATTTAAATCCACCCCTCACAATCTCGCCAGAGGAGTTCAAAAAGTTCTTTGTAAATATTTCAAACACCATATCAGCCAATCTTCAAAAATCTGGTGCTGACCCTTCAGAATTTACCTCTACAATTATTCACAATAACTATACAGGTTTTAAGCTTCTGTAACACCTGCAGAGGTAGTAAGTATCCTGAGTTGCATGAGCGACAACAAAGCAAAAGATGTATTTGGTCTAAGCAACAAAATCTTGAAACAACTCGAGGAAGGACTTCCCCTCTCCCTTTCCATTATTATAGGCAGATGCTTTGAGAGTGGTAAATTCCCAAGTAGGTTGAAAACCAGTAAGGTGGTATCTATTTTCAAAAAGAGGATGAAAATGACCCCGGAAACCATGGACCTATTTCTGTTGTTCCGGCTTTGTCAAAACTAATTCAGATCAGCCTAAACAAGCGTCTAACCATATTTTTAAAAAAGAGTAGCTGCTGTCCAGCCAGCAGTTTGGTTTTCGTAGGAAAAAATAAACAGCAGAAAATAAATAAATAAATAAATAATGACTTTTATTTGAAACAAGACGGGTTGTACTCTCATTTAAAATCCATAATCAAAATACATGAAAAACACCTAAAATTCAAATAGAAATAAATATGCACAGGGTCTGTTCCCTATAATTAGTGCGGCTTCTACAGCTTAAACAAAAAAAAAATAAAAAAAAAATGTTAAATACAAAAGTTATAGGATTATATCTCTACTATCTTTTTCAAATGTCAAAACGGGCAAATGACAGGTGCCAACTGTCATAATGACAAAAACTTGCATTTTTTAAATAGAACACCCTGTATATTTTTGGCTAGAATGATAAATTTTTTTCTTCTGATTCCAAATATATCATATATGTTGATATTTGGTTCAGCTGTTTCTACGCTATTTAGGTTTAAAAATGTATTTTCATTTCCCTTTTTTTTTTTTTTTTTAATTCTTTAGTTTTCCTTTAATTATTATACAAGATGCAATACAACTATAAAAAAAGAAAAATACTAAATATAAAATAACAAAATATAAAATATAAAAACAAAACATCAAATATAAAAAATTTGCTCCAAACCAGATCCTACTGGAAGGGTCCCAAGCGCTGACGCTGCATTTCCCCTTTGTACTGCTAGACTAATTTTTTGGGTAATGAAGCTAAATGCCTTTTTATGATTTATTTTCTGACAAATTTGTTTAACTAATCTTTTAGCTTCATTACACCGAAAGTTTCCACAGCAAAAGGAACAAAAAGAAAACCTCGGTCCTGCAGTTCTTTATATTTGAGCATTTTTGGGATTCACCAATTCTTGCTGCTTCACCAGCCTTAATCGATGTCTTTGAAACGTAAGTTTGACACAAAGTATCTCGGCATGTGGCATCCCACAGTAATGCTTTACCACTCTTCCAAGGCAACAGAGACATTCCATCCACACGTTTGCCATCACTTCTACATATACCAGGTGGCTCTAGTATGGAAGGAATATCTGCTGATGCTAACGAGCGCTTTATTATATCATTGATCAACCTGTGACGGGTCACCCGACCTGCACTTTTATTGCAACACAGGGCATGAAGCCCAAATTTATCAACTTGGTTGTTGCAAGTGCAGATGTGTGGCATGCACACAGGTTGACCAACGCGAAGAGCTACTGAAATTTTGAACGTCGCGTCATCTAACAAATTACCGAGATTCGAAGAGGGTAAAGCATTCAGCCAAGCACCACTTTCCTCTTCCTGCAAAGCAATAATCCTAGCTTTTTCAACACGACTATTAGAATTTGAAATGATTTTAGCAATTGAAAGTTTACAAAATTCGAAATCAAAATCTTTTTGACATTTAAATTTAGTAAAGTCCGAAATATTTGTGATTATTTTGAATTGATTAATTGCCTCATTCTTTGCCGAATCTGTAGAAGACAAAATTTGATTTGGAAGGATATGAGGTAATATAGGAGAAACATTGGTCAAAGACCCCAAAAAAGCCGATAAACACAACGAAGAAGTATCTCGAATGCCTAAGCCCCCCAACTTCACTGGTAAACTAAAAAGGGCCCAAGCATTGTCATTTAAAGTGCAATTTGTAATAGATTCTAAAGAAGACTTTAAAATCAAATCAATTTTTTTCAGAGTATCAGGTACTCTCCAGCAAGGAGCACAGCGCAGAAGATATGTAATTCTTGGAAGCGAAAATGAGTGTTTTAGAAGATAGTAAGCAATATGTGAATTTATCTTGATGAGTTTTTCTGAATTTTTTTTGAAAATTTCAATTTTAGTATTTAAAACTTTTTCAGTTTCGGCGGGAGAAAAATGGCAGCCTAGAAGATTAATTTCTTTAATATTAGTGTTTTTTAGGTTCTTTATAATTGGTTCAAATTCTGAAGGAATTTGGTTATCTTCAAAGTTTTCTATGATTGAAAATTCGCATTTACTAAAATTAATTTTAAGTCCAATATCAGAGCATGATTTTGTCAATACTTCTAAATCGGAGAAAACTGTATCTGGGTCGCCAGCCAAAATTCCATCATCCAGATACCATAAATTAAGTTCCGATTTAAGTTTTGCAACTATGGAATGCAGTGACAAACAAAATAATGGTGGACCTAAGGGATCCCCTTGCTGCACACCTCTTTGTGAGGAAATAATATGATCACCAAAACAAAGATATGAAGGAATCTGATAGCATTGATAAATAAAGTTGTAGAAATCTTGTATTATTTCCCCAACTTTATTTAAAATAGCTCCACGATTTACCATATTAAACGCGTTATAAAAATCAATTTTCAGAACAATTTTTTTTGAATTATGTTGAAAGGATATGTATTGTCGAAACGCATGTGTAATAATTTCACAACCATTTTTTGTTGCAAAACCTAGTTGCTTGGGACGAAAAAAATTTCCTAATTTATCATAAATTGAAGAACAAACAATTTTTGCTGCTAGTCTTCGAAAGCACAAACCCACGGCTATTGGTCTAATACCACCATCTTTTTTATTTAAAGCTAACAAGGGTGCCCCAAAGAAAATTGGAGCGATCATCGGTGGGATTGAAACTTTAATAATCAAATACAAAAAGGATGAGATTGATTGCAGAAGCTTGGTGGAAAAAGTACCGAGGTTTTCGTCTATTAAATCCTTAAGATGTTGAGGCTTGAGTGAATCGAGACCTCCAGCAGAACCTGGTCTAAATGAAGAAATAGACTTCTTGATATTATTCTCTGACAAATTCAAATCTAAATTCAAATCAGAATTTAAATTTGTTTCATTTCCGTTAAAACTAAGATTTTGTTCATCATCATGTTTCGGGTGTTTTTCTTGAAGTTTTTTTAAAGTTTCCTCGTTTTTAGGAGCCAAAGTATCTTCTGATGAAATTAACCGAATCGCTCCTTTAATGTCCCCTTCTGCAATTTTTCCTTCAATTTTCTTCGATAGTTGATTGTCTTTTTGAGGATGGTTTACTTTCTTTATTTGTGGTGGTTTGTTGTTTCTTCTTAAATAGTCATTAAGTTGGTCTAAAGGCAAAGTTGTCAGATTTTGCCAAATTGCTAAATTTTCTTTGACTAAAGAAGTGAGTGATTTATTCCTGTTAGCATTACGCTCATCTGGAACCTTGAGAACTATGTATGAAAAAATAAGCAAATGGAACCAAGATTTTAGGCTATTCTCCTTGACACAGGTATTCAGAACTGAGGCCAATTCTTCAGATTCAGATTTACAAGTTCGTGCTCCTTTCGGAATTCTTTTGATAACCGATGTTGATGATTTCATTTTGGTGAGTAGAGAATTTATTGAAAATGAATCCAAAATATTATGTTCGTTAGTATTATTAGTGGAGGCATTTACGTGTTTTATAGTAACATGTTGATTTATCCCTTTTTGTGTTTTGAAGCGTTTGTTGCAAAAATTGCATTGAATTTCTACTGATTTATTTTTCAATGATGATTTTTGTTGAGAATTAGCAGAAGAAATGTTATCGTTGACTTGTCTTTGCTTTTGAAAAGAATGATGGGATTTGGATTTATGAATATTAAGACCTCTTAAAGATTTGAACCATTTTTCGCAAGAGGAACAGAAAAATTGTTTATCCTTTTCCAAAATTGATCGAGAAGCTGGAGAAGTTTGGGACAAATTATCGGAAAAATCCAGGGAGAATTGTTGATTCCTATCATTGGACGGGCCGGCATCTCGCAGATCTTGAGGAAGAATTTTCCAAAATTTAATATAGTTTGAAAATCTATTATCCTGTGGATATTTTGGTACGTTGTAATTTGAAAAGGTTGATTCTTGGGAATCAAGAGATACTTCAGACATTAAAATTCAAACATACCTGACAACGTCGGAGAATTCTATTAGTGAACGTTCTTCTTAAAACTAGCCGCTGTCACTATTTTTATTTATTTTTTTGATGTTTGATATTTCAATAATTTCACAAAAGTCAAAGTTATACCATTATCCCATAAATCTGTCTCCACTCATCGTTCTATGTCCAAAAAAATCCTTCAGTCCGATCACTATAACTTTCCCAATACTTTAATGCCCTTCTCGACTTTCAAAATTCCAAGAAAACCACTTTTTTTTTAAAAATTTCACGCAGCGATCTGAAACATTTCCCTATATTTAGGCCAGGGCAGTTAGCAAAAATAGGAGGTTTTTGGAATCAAGCTGATTTTTTCTCAGATGATAGTACCCATCAATAGTACTCTGTAAAAAAAGGTTACACCTCCTAGGAGGCTTGCTTTTTCCGCCATGATGAATTAAAGATGGCGGCTGGTGCTATTCTTGAAAAAATCTTAACTTCCTTATTTATCAACCGATTTTTGTCAGGTAAAAAAAAAAAATGTTTGGACTAAAGAAAGAAATAAAAATGTAAAACCAATTTCACAGGTTGTATTTCTGTCAAAAACAAAAAAAAAATAGAAAATAAATCGAAATGGTTTTCTTTAATTTTTTCTGAACCGTAGGTACCTACTTCTAAAATATCCGCTTTTTTTTCTCTGATTTTAAAACAGTTTTTGAGTTTGTGATAGGTTGGGTAGTTCGGGAGATATAGTCGAAAAGAACTTAGGAATCCAAAAAAAAAAACACTTATGCAGAATAAAGTTTTCATTATTTTTTGTATACGCTCCCAAAAATAGCTATTTTGCGGACTCATTTCATTCAGCTTTATTTTCGGCCTAGTCCGTGAATTTCTTCACTTTCGGCCTAGTCCCTAAGAGTCGTCATAGCAACCTTGTCAGTTTGAATGTACCTGTCGCACCTGCCAATGCATAATCAGTTTAAAAATTTTAATTTTGCCACATTCACTTCACATTTTTGTCAACGGAATTCAGTCAATTTTTGGAGAGCTACTACAAAAAAAATATTGTTTGTATCGCATGTACCTAAATTAGGTTTTTTAGAACTCATTTGGTATTTTGGACTTGGCTACCGCCTCGTCCGGAAACTGCAAATATTAGTCCTAAAAAAACTTATTTTAGGTACAGTTCGTTTCATGACGCCTTATACTTTTGACATCGAAGACGTCATAACTTAAAAAAAAGGGTTGTCATAAATTAATTCATATGACACATTCAATTTTTTTGACAAATTAAAATGAATGAATTCTGGTTTAAGAACCGAAGAACATTTTTGACGTCATTGATTTTTTTCAGTTAATTTCTATTTGTTAAAAAAGGAAGGCAAATTATGTAAAAGTATAAACCCTCGTGAAACGAAGTGTAGTTATTGTTATTTTTATGTTGAAAAATAATTTAAAAAATCCGAATGCGATCTGTAAATCGCTTAGGTGTTATTCAAAATCTTTAAATTTGTCAAAAAATAGATATCAAAGAGAAAATAATCGTTGCTGTTCGCTTACCTTCTTCTTGGTGCACTTTCCATCCAGATTACACAACTTTTTTTGGCTGCTGGTAACACTAATTTCGATTTCTTTCGCGGTAGAAATTCTTTTTCAATTTTTAAAGAAGCGGGTGCGGATTGCCGTTTACACGGACAAATCTTGTACCGATATCCGATATGTTCCTTTTTCGAGTACGGAGCTGCGCGCATGCACTTTATGGGCTAGCGAACAGGTATTTCCGCGGTAAATAGTTATTTTTAAATTTAAATATTAATATTGAGAACACGGAAATCTTTGGATTTGCTCCATTGATATAGAACAAAGAAAGTTTATTTCAATTTTTTAACATATTCCCCCACCAATTTTGCAACCAAACTTAAATCTTAATTTGTGTTTCTGGGGTAAACCATTTAGACTTTTGCTGTAGCGTATGAAAATACTCTGAATGCCATCGTTGCCAAAAATCATTATGAAATCTTAGTAAAAGTTGATAGCGGTCAAGACGATTTACGTTCAGATGTGTAACATCAGGGTCTGGTAGACAAGTTAAGGGTTGTAAGGTTAAAAAGTGCCCGGGAGTTAATACACTATAGTCATTTGGATCCGAGCTAACTGAGCAAAGCGGTTTTGAATTATGAATTGACTCTATTAGAATTAAAACAGTGTTAAGTTCTTCGTAAGTTAAAACTTGAGAACCTATTACACGAGCTAAATGTGTTTTTACTGATTTAATTCCAGATTCGTGAATGCCACCCCAGTGGGGAGCTTGAGGCGGAAGAAAGACCCATTTAATCTTTTCCGAAGCGAAAACATTTCGCATTATTTCTACGAGATATTTATTAGCTCCAGTATAATTGGTAGCGTTGTCACTCTTATTTGTGTACAACGGCTTCGACGCGCTATAAACCGCCTTAAAGAGCATAAAAAATTTTCGGTGGATAAATCACTGCATAACTCCACATGTATGGCTTTTGCTGCGCAATAAACCAATAAGCTTATATATGCCTTCACCTTTTTTGCCCCTCTATGTTTTCCCAAAGTTATAAAAAATGGATCTCCGTAATCAATTGAAACAACTGAAAAGGCCTTAGCTTGAGTTACGCGGTGATTGAGTAAACTACTCATAGGAGGTGTCAAAATGGAAGGATTTAATCTCCAATATTTGAGACATTTAGAAAGAAGTTTCCTAATCGCTCCGCGCGGCGAGAGAATTCAATAGTTTTGTGCTAAAACTTTTAGCAGTTTCTTTTAGCCTAAAAGAAACTGCATGGTTTGTAATCCAGGGTGACAATGTTTTTTATGGGTATCTTCTATTATTAAATCCGTTAATCTGCATGATCGTGGTAACACAGTTTGTGGTAGAATAATAGGGAATTTTTTATCGTAATCTAATAGCGAATTTTGTGAGCGCCCGCCTACGCGCATAATTTGCTTATATCATCAAGAAAAGCGCTTAGTTTTCTAAATGGTTTTGCTTAAAATACTATTTACTTCATTTGAGAAAAATAATTGTTGAACGCGTTTAACAATGATGAAAAGAGCGGATTGAAAATCGAAATGATCAAAAGGCACGGTTTGTTTGTCTTTTGGATTCTTTGAATTAAAAATAAATCTTGGCACATAGCAAATTATTCGTAATATCTCATATAAGGAAGAGTACCTAGCTTCCAATTAAGAAATCGATAAAAAGACACGAATTTAATGTTGTCAACACCGTTTTTCTTTCTTCACTGCTAATATCGATGGAAATTTTTGAATTAGGAAAGTTATTCGTAGGCCATTGGGTAATATGTTGAGTAAAGGGGCTAGGACAGAGCTGGCGCAAAATCAGTCATTTTCCCATGTAAATCTCCATAAGAAAATCTAAGGTCCGTTCTGGCAATTTTTGTACCGCTCAAGGTCATCCGTCCAGCCCGCCAGCCGGCGCTAAGCCCCACCCCCTCTCCAGTGCCCGTGTCTTTCATCGGTCGCACTAACTGGTCAGCCGCCGCTACGTTCGGGGTCATTGACCTGGCTGCAAGCGGCTCATCGAACACACATAGCAGCTCGTGACTACGTGATTACGCGGGCATCCTGCGATAAGCAAGTCCTAACAAGTCTCTAACCAATCCGAAGGCTGAGGTCTCTCGTCTAAATATAAGAAACGAGCGACAACAAGCCGAAGATTTTTTTTATTATTATTTACATCATTTTAATAGCTACAACGCTTTCGCTCGTATTCAGATCAAAATCGCCGCTTGTTCGAGTGACTTGTTGAAATAAGTGATCAGTAAACTTTTGGATTGCGCCTATTTCTATATCAGTGTTGGAGTTAACAAAAGCGTAAGTATTAATACAGGTATTATTATTATCAACATGACTCATCATTTATACAAATATTTTTTTGCAAAATAATTCCGTCTCAAATTTTTTCCATAAGGATTTTCCTAGAATTTTTGCTTCAAATATTCATTTCCTATCAATAATATATTGCTGAATTATATCAACATGTTCACCAACAAAAGCAAAAATTAAGCAAACGCGTCACATAGGAAATTACACTGCTTGAGCCGTCCTGCCGCAATACTGATAAACTATTTTTATTTAGAATAAACAATATAACCTGTGACAATAATATGAGAAGGCGCTACGTCATCAACGTGTCTGTGAATATTTTCATCGTATGACGTTATCGTTGGCGCCATCTAGCGTACATAGTGTAAAGTTCGATGTGTTCCATTATAGGATGCTGTAGTGGTAAATAAGGAAAATTCGTGACTGCCGCCGACGTTTAATGTGGGAATTTTATAGACAAGGGTATCATATTTCACGGTTATTTTTACTTATAACTGATAAGCGTTTCCATTCTAGCAAAAACAAGCTCAAACTTGCATTTATATTTTGTCGATGATAAACAAAACGTGTATGAATATTTTCACTGCCCACCGACTACCTACATATTATATTTAAAAACATTCCAGCATATAGCCCCATAATACTTCCAGTCAAGTTGGACATTATCTATTACCCAACTAACAACCCTTAGGGGCAAAAAAAGGGTGATATCAAAAATTTCAAAAAGTACCTAACTATACCATAACTCTTTTGAGGCGGGGACAGCGAAGATGCTTTTTCCGGGGTGTGCGCAACCCTAACTATCAAGGGAATGTCTGAAAACCGGATTTTGACCATCTGCGCAGAATGTCTTAGGGCCTTATTCTATTTTTTCGATTATTTCGCCTTCTAGCCATCCGATTCACTTCGTTCTTTTACCAAAAATTTTCAAATAATTAGTCGCGTATTTGAAGACCAGTTCCACCCGTTTAGCATATGCCAAAAGGGCCGTATTCTATTTTTTCAATTATTTAACGTTCT